GGGGGGGGGGGGGGGGTGTCGAAGGTCAAATTGCCGAGTGCCGCTAGTTGAATTTGCCGAGTTTTTCAAAAGTTTAAAAAGTTTAGATAGATGTAATGAGAACCATATTCGTGTGCTAGTAATAAGGGACACAAATATGGCTCTTGTGTTGAAATGGACGCCTGTTCGTGGGTCGGTTGCAACAAAGCAAGCAGGTTTCTCATGTTGTTACAACATGACTTTATAAATACACGTGTAGTCAGATATTTCGCAAGTCAGAAATTTCGCGTCACACCTGCATGGTGTTTCAAAAAAGAACTGGACACAGTTTGATATCATGTAATGTAAAAGATATAAAAGCTTTCGCAATGAAATAAAATCGTTGCATTTTGATATACACTTGAATTTACATGCAATATTGAGCGAGATACAACCAAAATAAAAATATTTATTATTTAACAAGTATAACTACATTAATATACAAGTATAACTACATTAATATACAAGTATAGCTACATTAATTACAAGGTTGTTTTATGCTAATTTTTCAAGGCATTTTCAAAAACAGTAGTTCAACCTTCAAACATCAATAGCGCAGTTGCATGTAAATGCAAGTGCTACTATATATCAAAAGCTAAGAATTATATAGTCCTTTCTGAATGCAATGATCTTTATTTAATTGCGATAGCCTTTATACCTTTTACATTACATGAAATCAAACAGTGTCCAGTCTTTTTGGGGACACCCGGTACATTTCACGAGATATACGAGTAGTTTCAATCCGAAAATGGATTATTCTAAATAACTACTTTGTTTTTGCCGCAGAATACATTTACATATGACTCTGTCCTTTGGAAAAACGAGGAGACGTACGCCATAGAAGACGGACTGGAAGGGATATCAGAGAAAGAAAGCAAGTTGGCTTCATATTGGAACACTCCGTTTACAAAAATTTGCCTGGGTATGTCACACAATGGAGAGAGAAAATGGACAACATTTGACTACGCCGCAAGTTCGCTGTACAGCGTGATCGCAGATGGACAATTCAGGGCCACGACCGCTGGCAAGGCTACATGGAAATCCCTCATCGCGGGCTCATCATTACAATACAAATGCAACAGAGAGGGATTTAATGTAAAGTTCAATGGCAATTCCGCCATGCGAATTGGAATCGTTGCTAATAATGAGGTCAACTGTGATTCATGCGATTCTTGGCTTGGCTTTAGCACAGCATATGTTAATGGTGATGGTACATGGACCAATAGAATGGTTTGCGGTAACAAAGCAGGTTGCTGTTATCCCGACAATGGAAGTAAAACACTGGTCACATTCGGATATATTCTTATTCAATAATTATTTTGCAATCCACGCCATCTTAGTTGATTTTCAAAATAGATTTAAACTATATAATTATGATCCCAAAATGAAAAGCTATCCATAACATAATTAAGACCGGAAGTTTTCCTTGACAAATTTTTCTTGATAAGTTTATACCTTGGCAGCCCACATTTTTCCTATTTGAAAGAAAAGTTTTCACCTTTGTCCCTCTCAGTGAAAGTTTCTTAACAAGGCACTGCATGCGACAAAAAAGGAGACTTTTTAAGTTGTGGGGTAAGCAGGGACGTCGCTACAGAGGTGTGTGGGGGTGTAACACGCCCCCCCCCCAATAATTCAAAACGTTGGTCAAAGTTGGTAAAATTTGGTTAAAGTTTGATACGAAAATGATCAAAGTTATGAAATCGTTGGCAATTTTAACAATTTCTAAGCTTTGGTCATGTTTGCGCTGAAACAATTGCAAGCCTTGCTAATTTTGGTCGAAAATATTTGAAACTTTGCTTATGTTAGTGCGGAGAATTTTTTGAACCCCTCCTCGACAACATTTTCGGGAAACATT